TCAGTCACCAACTGCTATTCAAAATTATGTCTAATCAAGATTTTTGAAGGTTAGTGTTTCAACTGAAAGCAGCTCGTTCCTCAAAAAAAGAATTAACTCAAGGCCTGAAAGATTGCTTCAATAGAAAATTAATATAGAAACATAACATCACTTAAATCCCTAATAATTCCTGGACATTTTATTTCTTGTCTGCTGACTTGTGGCTTCCTAGTTTGAAGTTGTTGATTTATGCTTTAGGGTAAAACCTAACCGACAGTGACAGTATGTTGCTGAAGTTGACATGTTGATGCTTGGAATTCAGATCATTGAGTTATTTTATCAATGTCGATGTATAATTAATGAAAAATGCTCAATGATAAATTCTAATAGCAATTTGTGACCTAGTAAAATGTCACAATCGGCTTACCTATTTGTATAAACTGTCTGACCAAAGACTAGAGATGCAGGACAAGCGTTTTTTTAATATAATGAATTTGTTGAATTTTCAACTGTGGTAATATCTCAGGACAGGACAGGATCATGCTTGAGGTCATTGAGCTATTTTCGGGTCACCATACCCAAAACTAATCCTGTGAATACCTGACATCAATAACAATTTTAACTAGGGTCTTTGCGTCAAATAAAAAACCCTTGGCCTTTCAAAATATTTGCACAAGCCACAAATGAAATGTCTTTTTATTTTGATTGGACATATCTCATTACGACACATAACAATGCATTTAGTCACTCCATTTGCCGCATTTCTCCTCACTTTTTTTTAAAACAGCGGCTATACCACAATGACTAACATTTATTCTGCAGGTCTTTTCTTCAGAGCCCAGTCATTAGATATCTATCATAACTGGATTCAATTCATATACTGTCATAATGTTAACAGAAGTCCTGCAACAAAGGGATAAACTGCTATTTATGGCAATTCTCCAAGTTTTCTGTTGAAGTTATGGCAGGCGATTGGGATAAACCCCACAGAAATTTACTTTTCAGGCACATTATAACTATTTTTCTATAGATTCCTTTGAACATTTCATTCATTATCTGGATGGATGGGCTAGAGGACTGTACCCAGGATATATAATCTATTTATTATTACTTTTTTAACTGGCCAATGGCAGATTTTGTAAGATTAAGAACGAACTCATTAAATTCTGTAACTTCCTGTGGTGAATTGCCATGCTTCTGCTTGATGCCTTCCATTATAGAAAGGCTGATACTTGGAATTTTCCAGGTGGTAAAACAACATGGGCAAAGGCACATGTCACATTATGTGACAAAATGGATTAATAAATGCTATGTAGTTCCAAGTATCCTAACAAAGACCTTCAAAACATTTGGACTTGCTTTAGTAATGGTGAATGAACATCTCAACTCATACAATGCCCTTGATAATTTAACCCATGGTTACCAAAATGAAAATTTTTGCAAAGTTTGGAGAAAACAGTAAATAACATACTAAACTGTGTCCAGTCACCTCAGCAACGTTTGTGATGAGCATTCATCATAAAATATAATTCTGCATTGATGGCTTTCCATAGTCTTCAATGCTCCTTGGTTTGAAAAATTTTCCGTATTTTACTTCACAAGCTGTCAATCAACACAAAGTGTTTTATTTTTTGTGAAGATTAAATGCTCTTTCCTCTAGTCTTCACATTTGTTCACCTGCAGTTTTCTTGAATTTAACATTTCTGTAATGTGCTGCATTAATTGGTGTCAGGAGCAGGCAAGATCCACCTCATCTGGATTCTTGGCTCTCTAATTCCATCAGTCTGTGTATGATTTAGTCACTGTGTGATAATTTGACCCTCAAAGTTTTTATTTCACCAATTTTAGCTATGAGTATATGCTTCATAGTACACTATTTTCTGATCTTCTGCATATTTGAATGAAAAAGAAAGGCAAGCAAATGAACTTCATGATTTGTGCCAATTATTGTGAATAACTAATATTATACTAATCATAACTAATTGAATTTAACAACTTTTCTTTACATAGATTTCAAAGTTGGAAAGAATATTTTAAGAATTTTGACTCTGCTTAAAATGTAAAAGTAATTTTCTGTTTAGAAAGTAATAAATTCCAATAGTTTTGTATACAAATCTGAACCTCTGCCGAGCATCTGCAGTTGTGGAGAAATCTATCCTACATACTCAGAGGTGATATTTCAAATTAGGGAAACATTGTTGAACAAAATAAAATAGAACTAAAAGGAATGTAACTTTGGAAAGATGCCTTTTCTAGAATACCATTATACCTGGTGCAAAGCCCCAGTTGGATAAATGTTATTCTCTGATTTATCCATGTAATTGTAATCTATTATTCCTGTTACAATTCTAGGTAATCACTTCCGTAACTTCTCTGAAACCTTTACATTCTTCCTTAAGCATGTTGCCCAATGTACTCCACCTGAGGCTAAACTTGTGTTTTAAGCAAGTTTAGCATTACACTCCTGACTTTTACACTTTATACCTCAATTTACAAGTCATAGAGTCTTTGCTTTTTGAAGCTTCCCCAATAATTTCAAAAATGTTTCTTTCAAAACACTACTAGAGCTATCTGTTCCTGGGCCATTGTCTCCCCTCTTTCCTCTTATCAAAATTTAACATGTTTCCAGTTGAATTTCACCTGTTGTGTGTCCAGCCGAATCATCCTCTGTCCAATTAAGGTTTATCGCTATTTTCTTCACTGTTTACTGCATTTCCAAGTTTTATGCCATTTGCAAATTTCAAAGTTGTGTCTTGCACATTGAAATTCAAGTCATTATTCAAATCAAATTCACAAGTGGTCCTCATGCTAATCCAGCCATTCACAACATCTGTGTTATCTATCCCTTAACCAATTTTGTATCTATGCTATAACTGGTCCCTTACCCCCTTAGTATAAATTTTGCTAAACAGCCTAATGTGTGGCACTTTATTAAGTGCCTTTTGAAATTTCAACAACTGGACTACCAACAGCCACCATTTTGGTTTTCCCATAAGGCAGTGCAACATGATTTGCTGTTAAGAAATTCTTTATTGTCCAAATTTGGCCAAATGTTTATTAAATTTCCCACTATTATTGTATCTATAAGCTTCTCCATCACTGATAAATTGACTGTAATTTCCATGTTTATCCTTTTTCCTTTACTGAACATGCATTTTATACTTAAGTCCCATGTAAAATCATTATATTCCTGCAAAAATACAGCTAAGAGCAACGTCCTTTGCAACATGATTCAGCTCATGAAATGTAGTACTAGCTGGATGATTTCTGAGAACTGTGAAAATGTTGATTGGTTAGTTGGAAACTTTCACAGACTGAGGTTACTAAACTAGACTGAAACTGTCACTTCCTCATCGTGTTCTAATTTAGGGGGCAGCACAGTGGCTCAGTGGTTAACACTGCTGTCTCACAGCACCAGGGACCTGGGGTTGATTCCATCCTTGAGCAACTGGCTGTGTGGAGTTTGCTTGTTCTCCCCATGTCTGCATGGGTTTCCTCCAGATGTTCTGTTTTCCTCCCACAGTCGAAAGATATGCAGGTTTAGGTGGATTGGCCATGCTAATTTGTCGTGCTGGCCGGTGGATTAGCCATGTGAAATGCAGGGTTACAGGGATATGTTGGGGTTGTGGGTCTGAGTGGGATGCTCTTTGGAGGGTTGGTGTAGACTTGATGGGCCAAATGGCCTGTTTCTATGCATTGAGATTTTATAATTTAATTGATGATTTTATTTTGTCAATCTGTAGAATGAGTTCTCCCAAAGTATTTATCATGTCTTAGTTTAAGTAAAGGATAACTTGATCCAGCTTTTCAAAACTTTTATGAGAACACAGGTCAGATAAATTTGAATCTGGGAAGGAAAATAAACAGAAATTAGCAAATTTCCTGAAATTAAGCAAAAGAAGATAAAGAAAAAATGAACATTTCTAGAGGTCAGTAGGGAAACATAATAAAACAGATGATGTTTTGAAATGTGGAAGATTCAGAAATATGTATTTAATCAAAACTGTATCCATTCTCTTCATCCACAAATTGCCTGGAATATATGGGCTGCTGTTTTATTTGAAATAGATTTTCAGCAAACTAAAAGATATTTTAAAAATGGGAAGAAAAATTTGGAAATATATAATGGGAGATTATATATACATAACCTTATCAAACCGGCGTGAAGTTTGACACAGAGTACTTGGGGCAAGCAAAGAAGTGCTAATGATCACAACTTTCCATGTACCAAGCAGATTTCTCCACAATGTGATGAAACACAGTTCAGAATCCTGGGAAGCATATATGAAGTGATTTAAATAGGGGTAACTTCCCTCTGAAAATCAATTTTATGTAGCTGGTTGTAAATGCAACTGTTAATGTGTAGACATTACGAAAATTCCACACCTAATGCCTAATTAATTTGCAAAACTGCATTATGAAATGTGTTAATACAATTCTAAAACCATAAGTTGGGTTACTTCAAATCATATGTATATTTTAAATATTTACATAAACCTTTAACAAAGGCTATTTATATTTCTATTATATGATGTATGGTAATTTCATTCATTCAATTATAATAACTTCTCATATCAGTATCACTTTCAAGGTGACAGGTCTTTGCAGCTTGAATTGGTTCAAATTCCATAATTTTGCTTGTTCTTACCTTTTTTACTGCAGTTGTCAGAAATATATAGTGCAATTTTATTAGTGTTGTTTTGGTAAATTACTTTATGGCACAAAACAAGATATTTATTTGTGTTTATCCAAAATTAGTCATCATTTTATTTTATTGAATTTGAATAAAAATTATTTATTATGTATGTTTTCATTTTTTGTTTTTTGTACTGAAATAATCTGTTCCAACCATTAGAGACCCTATCAAACTAGTGGTAGAAAGAGGAACAAACTATTTCAGCAGCTTCTTTGCTTTCTCATTATAACACAAATGATCCCATTGGGGAATGAAGTTATTTTTTAACTTCGGCCTAGCATTTGCCTACATTTGTTTTGTGATTTGTCCCCTTTTCCTCCCCTAGATGCCAACCTGGATTCTTCGGACAAAGATGTTTGGAGACTGAGCCCTTGAGAACGTATAAACCTGATCTAAGTATGTTATTGTAAGGAAGTGTTGCAGTACTTCTAGGTATCCTTGGTGACAGCACTGGAGTTGGGGATTTTGACTGCAGCAGCATGTAAAGAGAACTACATTTATAAAAATGTTATTTTGAGAATATTTCTTTTGCTGTTGAACAATCCAGTGGTCTCATCAATGTTTTTGGGATATGTGTCCTTGAATGCTCTGTTCTAATGTTAAATCCTTTCTATCTTGTTTCTTTCTCTATGGTTTTTGTTTTTCTTGTCAGGTGTCCAAATGAATTTAAAGGTGATCGCTGTCAACACTACGTAATGGCCAGTTTCTACAGTACGTCCATTTCTTCTCTTCTTAAACCGAAGCATGCTACTGCTGAAACATAGCATGCTATTTCTGCTGCTGCTTTCTGTTGACAATGCTATTACCTGTCTTTCCCATATCACTGCCCCATATAGCCTCCCTAAATCTATTAAACCCATATATCTTCAGACTAGAATAAGGGATCTAAATTTGGAGGTTACGACCACTTACTGGACATGTTGAATTCCTATTTCAAACAAACACTAGATTATGGATCACAGTTGCCTGAATAAAAATAATAATAATAAACTATATTAATAAAAGTAATAATGATTATTACTCATCTAAAAATGTTGTAGCTATGGATATGCATTATATTTAATTTAAATGCGCTTTACTGTAGTATGCCCAGAAATCTGAATCTCTTGAACTCCAATAAATCTGATGAAAGATTGCACTTGCAATTGCCTCTGGCTAACCGTTTGGTCAGGAAATCTACATAGTAATTTTACATACTCATGGATATGTAACAGTTAGTAGCACTAATGCTCAATTCCTTGATTTGACCAGCAAACATTAGAGAAAGCAATACCAAAAGACAGTACTCTGACTTCTCTGAAGTAGTAACACTCTTTGAGGGACACAGCTCTATGAATCAGGCACTATCTTCTTTGAATAATGTTTGGAAAACATTTTTCTTTTGAGTTGAGATTAGAGAGAGCCGGTATCTATGATTGGGAAAGTGAAATATCTCCATGCCATGAATTCTAGTTCACTTGCATGTTTGTGCCAAGGCATTTGAAAACAAAAAGATAAAATGTTTTCCAATTTTTCAAGCAAATTGTATGACTTCCATAGATATCTTTAGTTCATTCAAACCAACTTGTCATACAAACATAGACAAATAGCTATGATACACATATAATCAGTAATGGAAATAGAATTATAATTTTTGATATGGAAAAAAAAGTGATAAAGCTTCAGAAAACTAATACATCAAAAACGCAGAAAACCAAACTGAATATTTCCATTTCTGAGATTTGTATGACCTTTTTATGCAAAAATATTTTGAGAATGGTTTACAATATATTTATTTCTCATCTGGTTTTAATTGTTTGTGCAATTTTCTTCTTAGCTTCGTTATGCAAATTAAGTAGGAACATTATGCAAGTGTATTCATCCAATTTGAGAGATGCTTTCATCCAAAGCAGAGGGAGAGAGACAAGCCATTAGTGGTTAGACAACATTCTAAGGTTAATGTAGTGGCAGGTATAAATTACTTCACAATAAAATCAATCTTACTTTTTCTGAAAGATACCTGTGCACAAACAGAAGAGCTAATTTATGTAAAACTTTGTCATTCTGATTATAATCTGAGTTAAATTGATTAGTTGGAACACATTGTAGGCTAATGTCTATCAGAAGCACAACATAGATAAAACCTGGAAATATTATTGAATTTTTATACAGTCATGAGGAAATAATGCAAGATTATATTAACTGAGAAAAAATCACTCTGTAAGATGAGTCAGAATATACAATTCTAGTTTAATTGTTCATTTAGTTTCTTTCTGGGTTTAATTCTCACTGCAATGTTGTATCAAATATTCTAGCAGTTTTCCTCCTACAATGTTTGTTTAATGAAAGTGAATCATTTTATTTCATGAATTTCAGAAAAGATGTTACTTGAGTAAATGGTTAACTCTTAACACTAACCCTGAATCCCCCAACAGATTGAGACAGATCATTGGGCTTGTTGCAGGATTCCTAATTACCATGTCATAAGTCTCTGTGTATAGAAACTGTTAAACCATGTTTTACTCTCTATTGAAATGTAGTGAAGGCAGGTCCAATTGAAGGATTCAGGAAATTATTGGATAATTATTTGGATAGAAATAATGTGCAAGGGTATGAGGAGACTGGCAGTAGGTATGATGCTCATTTAAAGAGCTGGTGCAGATACAATAGATCAAATGACCTCTTTCTGCACCATAACACTTCTGTGATTCTGATTCTGTATCAATTTATATAACCTTAACCCGCTTTTGTACATTGCTTGCTGTTCTTTACCTGAGGTCACTAACCTAACTGCTACCTTTTTACCCTTTCAATTTATAACATACGTTTTTGCCCTGTTCACTGCTACGCCCTGGTGTCCTTTCATCCTACTGTCATTTTATGCTCATATCTCTCTTTACCAAGCATGTAACTCTCTGCACTTTCCCAGTGTTACCCCTGTCTCACTCACAGTACAACTCATTCTCATCTGTTATAGAATTCTCAGCTCCCGATCTGATGTTCATAGTGGCCATTCCTTCCAATTCATTCACCAGTGGCTAATTTCTTTAACGTTATCCTGTTCTCAATCCATGCCTTTACGACTACTGCATGAGTGACCAAAATTCAATTCTCTATGGCTTTCCAGAATTTGCACTCTCTATGACATTATCATGGGTGAGTTTATTGATTAGCCATGATCTGGCAGCAATCTAGCAGCAAGACAGTGATTCCTTCCCCTTTACCAAAATTACCGAACCTGAAATGGCTTCCACCATGCCATGCCTACACTATATAACTCTTACGTTACTGATGTTTTCTTTTTCTATCAAGTCCATTACTATCTCCCATTCTTCCAGTCTTCCTTTTAGAATTCTTGCCCTTTCTACTTGCCAAGATCTCCTTTCTTAACCTCTGCATGAAGTAACTTCTTATCCTCAATCTTAATCCAATTGACCCTAATTCTCCCGACCTCTCACTCAACGCTCTCATTCACACATTTGGTTACCCGTTCAACCTTGCTGTTATCCAAGGCTTCACCACCTTAGAGATTTTAATTGGTGACAAGTTAATTTCTGATCAACACTTTATCTTCTTTCCTGCATGCAAAACTCTGGCTCACCTCCCCTTGCATCACTCTTGTCATTCACTTTGTGAAAATATTTTCCCTCTGCTCCAACATTACTACCTCATCTAATTCCTGCACTGAACCCTCTGGGTTTCCGTCTGCACTAATATTATTGCCTCTGGTAACTTCTCAAAATGGTGCTTGAGTTCCATCTCTGATGTTCGCAACTCCCAAAGTTACTTAAATTTTTAAAGTTTTCCATTCCAACATCCTGCCTGGTACTCACTTTTGTGTTTTCACATGTGAAGTCTGTGGACTTGAAAGCATCTCCATTTGATTACTCTCATTGACCACTCACCGGTACAAAGAGTAGCACATCTCTTCTCTATAGGAGAATCATATAAATTCATGAATACACTTGAGTCTAAGGGTGATCCCAGAATCCTTAGTTACCACACCTCTCTGACATCCTACTTCAATATCCTCTGTTCTCACCTCTGCTGTTCATTATGAGGATCTTATGGACTTGGTTATGTCCAGGATCAAGACATCATGTGAACTGTCTTTGCCTCCGTTTTCCCAATCTTTTGTTCCACTAAAAGATCGCTTAATTCCTCAAACCTTTCTTCTCATACAATTCAAAATGAATTACTCCTAAAATTCCTTTTTTCAGTCCCTAAAGTCTGATTATCACTCCGTGCTATCAATTAGACCTCCAGTCAAAAACACAAATTACATATATTTTTGAAGACCATATTGCATTATCACCCCAAGGTTTCAGCTTTTCAGAAACCCTTTTTGATGGACCACTCCATCATTCTCTACCATTTCTCCTTTGCGATGCATTTCCAGAAGATAGTTTATGCTTGGTTCAACTGCCACTTGTCACAATAGAGCCAGCATATTTCCAGCAATAAATGTCGCCTCCTACCCCACACAGTCACACCTGCAGAATCCCAAAATATCTTTGTCCCTTCTTCACAGAAATTTCAGTCAGTCAACAAATGTAATGGTAGATGCAAAGCTGACCAGAAAATAAAGGTGAAATCCTTCATATGATGTATCAGTAATAGTCTTGTGTGAATATTATTGTATTTTGTATGGACTATGACCTTGGATTACCATGAAATTGTTGGAAACCACAAGCTTAAATTTGAATTTCAATTTGAGTTAAAATATTGTTTTACAAAAGGAAATCAAAAGAAAAATAAACAACTTAAATTTAAAGCAAATGTCAGTAGGGTAAGTGATTTTTCATTGGTATTGTGGTGTTAGCTATACAGTAATACATATGTATGAACATTTATAAGAAATTGAATTTCATGTCTCTCATTCTTATGGAAATTTTTCTGGGATATTTCAAATCACTGCTTCCACTCAGCATTAGTATCTTACTTGGTATAAATCATAGTGCCTAGTTCAGATAGCTCTTCAACAAAACATTGAAGTAAGTCCTGCCCATGTTGCTGAGACCCAGTGAGGGCCTGAGGAAGAATGAAGCTAGTGAGTCAAAGAATCCTGGGATAATTTCCACACAATATCAAAGACAACAAAAAGGCAGAGATATGATTTATCACATATAATCCTGGATGAATGAAAAAGTACCCTTTATAACAAAATAAATGAAAAGTTATGCAGACATGATTATATACTGCTTGAATCCTTTCATGTGCCTTTGCAAAATTTAATCTCAAATGAAAGGTCAGTTGAATGGACTGGCATAAAGTTGACTCAAAATTTTACTCTATGAAAATTGTTAAGCAGGAGTTTAAATCACTCCAGTTGCTGAATCAACTCTAAGTAACACGTAAAATTTTCTTTTGATCTTTATAGGAGTTGATTAATTTTTTTAGAAGATGAATATTCTGAC